ATTTATGAAGTCAGTTGTTTTTTTGTGTCCATTTGGGTTTAATAAGTCAATGTTAAAGTCACCACCTATTCGTGTTTTCTTATCGTTGTAGTAGCTGAGCATATCTGTTAGTTTTTTATTGAACGTGTCAATACATGATCCTGGTGTCCTATAGATGCAACTTATGATGATATTTGTTGCCTTTTTATAATGTATTTCAATGGTTAAACATTCCATTAGGTTTTCTATTGTGTTTGTCAATCTCTCGATTTTACTGCATTTAAGTGCTTTGTCTACATATATTGCAACCCCCCCTCCTTTTTTGTTTTCCCTATTAGTTGCGAACATTTCATAACCTTCTATTTCCATTTCACTTGTTTTATCTTTGTCAAGCCAGGTTTCTGATATGGCAATTATTTTAAATTTATTGAATTTAGTCAGGTATTCTTTGATTTTTGTGAAGTTTTTATAGAGACTTCTACTGTTTAAGTGTATTACTGAAAGTGCATTTTCCAATTTTATATTCGTGTTGAATTGTTCATCTAGGTAATAGTCAGAGTTTGTTACCCTTTGTTTGTTCTTGAAGAAGTTATTGTCCGGGTCCAAATTGTTCTCGGGGTCGAATGGCTTATAGTCAGTATCTTCAAAGGGTTGGAAGTCCATGTTTTTGAGATGTGAATTTCCCACTCTCGCGCGGTCGTCGCTGGCTCCCTCGTGGTCGTCGCTGGTTCCTACGCTGTTGTCACTTGCTCTCTCGCTGTCATCGCTGGCTCCCTCGCTGTTGTCGCTGGCTCCCTCGCGGGGCCTGGCTGGACGACTCCCGGGTCCCTCGTGGTCGCTGGCTCCCTTGCGGTCGTCGCAGACTCCCTCACGCTCGCTGGCTGGTTGACTCCCGGCTCCCTCAGGCTCGCTGGCTGGCTGGGTGTCTCCCGGTTCCCTCGCGGTCGCTGGCTCCCTTGCGGTCGTCGCAGACTCCCTCACGCTCGCTGGCTGGTTGACTCCCGGCTCCCTCAGGCTCGCTGGCTGGCTGGGTGTCTCCCGGTTCCCTCGCGGTCGCTGGCTCCCTTGCGGTCGTCGCTGGCTCCCTTGCGGTCGTCGCTGGCTCCCTTGCGGTCGTCGCTGGCTCCCTTGCGGTTGCTGGCTGGTTGTCTCCCAGCTCCCTCGCGGTCACTGGCTCCCTTGCAGTCGTCGCTGCCTTCATCTCGGTCGTCTCTGGCTCCCTAGCGGTGGTCGCTGGCTGGTTGTCTCCCGGCTCCCTCGCGGTCGCTGGCTCCCCTGCAGTCGTCGCTGGTTTCCTCTCGGTCGTCTCTGGCTCCCTTGCGGTCGTCGCTGGCTCCCTCGCGGTGGTTGCTAGCTGGTTGTCTCCCGGCTCCCTCGCGGTCGTTGGCTCCCCTGCAGTCGTCGCTGGCTTCCTCTCGGTCGTCTCTGGGTCCCC